TGACATTTGCAAGAACGTCGGTGGTTAACACCTACACTATGCTAAAAGCGCCATTCCAGGCGCAGGTTTACCCACCTCTGGCAGGGTTATGAGGCCCGCTTTCCAAGACCTTTCTGGGAACAGGGCAACGGAAGGCAGGGGCTTCATGCTATGGAGCAGGGAACTATTACATACGCTAAGGGAGTTGGGTGGTGTGGGAGTTAGGTGGTGTGGGAGTGCAGACATCAAACTTGGCTGGCTCCCATCGGATATCTTGCTCTTTTAGGTGCAACCTTACAGACATCCACATATTTTGAGAACGAAGGGATTGCGCCACTGAAGCGATTGAAGCTGTTGTGGAAGGAGGGGAAAAAACCATCTGCGAAGCAGCTAGCTGAAGTGGAAAGGCATGTGGAACGGGCACATCAACTAGAAGATTACCATTGCCATTCGCGATTCCCTACCTACACCGAGCAAGCGAAAGGATATTTTGCTCCGAATACACAACTCAAACCTGCAAGTGGGCGAGCGGGAGTCGTTTCTTAGCAGCAAGTCGGTCTGCCTACATTGTGGAGGCTGTGAAACCCTCGAACACTCACTGCCTCTACAGTTGTCCGAAGATTCAAGTGGTGACTTCGACGCTCAAGAAAACCCTCCGCATGCTCAATGCTTCGCGTGTGATGTTCTCTCTGGGGGATCTGTTGTTCCGGAGAGCACAACATTTCCAGAGGCCACGATTATGTCCACCACACTTCATCAGCTTTAGTTGGAGCGTGTGATGCTCCCTTAAGGGGCAAGAATTCTGGGCGAGGCTGGTGCTCCGGCGGATCAGAAGTGCATTCCGGCTGCATGCAAGGATTTATACGAGGACGAGAGAAGCAGAGTGGAGAGAGCGCAAAGGCATGGGGCAGGAGGAGAAAATTTGCTGCATGGAGGAAGAGAACAACTTACTGTTTCGAATCAAGGACAAGAAGAGCAAGTCTTGGACGTGGACGAACGCCTTCACATTTGTCTGGCTCTCCCCGAGGATAAAACACCGATCTCCTTAGATTCCGCACCTAGGGCAGCCACGAGGTCGCCCCTCATGCACACTTTTGACTATTATTGTTTATGTATGCTCGCTATATCAATCTACATATCAGCAACCTGAGTACATGATGTTTATTTCCAAGTTCATGATTCGTGAACTTGAAATTGCCAAAAAACAGGGTATCTTACTTTGGTTTGAAAAAACCCCTCTCTATCCTTGGGCCTTTTTCGGTAGGAAGACAAGTCTGACTGCGGATTGGTATAGGCAGCTTCCTGAGGCCAGATGTGAGCACGTTAAAGCCCCTAAAACCATTACATGCACACCAAACCTAGCCAGTACGACTTGGCTATTGAAATATTAATTTTGCAACTTGTGCTGGGTGCAATTCAGATGAGGAAGCCGTGGAAAACATTTCCTCCCTATGTAGATCTGTGAGGATTGACGAACTGGTTCAGATTGAACTGATTGATCACATGGGTACAACACGAAGGTATATGAAGTTTCGACACAAGGCAAGGTAACCAGGTGTTACGTGAAGGTTCCGAGGTTTGCAAAGCGTCCTCTGTCCGTCGGGGGTGAGTCTGCCCTTGGCTGTGACGTCATAGAGGACAGGCAGTTTGAGCTGGAGTTCTTAGCAGCCGCTTCCCCTCTCTCTGCGCCATGCTGCTTTCCCTGAGGGAGACCCAGCGCCCTTAACATACCGACACCTCGCACGTATCGTGAGGCAGTGTCAGGGGAGTGGGCTTCTTAGCAGAAAGCGGCTATGGATGCAGAGCTAGCATCTTGGAGATCCACAGGCACGTACGTCGACGCAGTTCCCCCTCCCAGGGCGAACGTTGTCGATGGCATGTGGCTCTTCAAAGTGAAGCGGCCGCCTGGTTCACCGCCTGTCTTCAAGGCGCGCTAGGTGGCTAGGGGTTTCAGTCAGCGTGAGGGAGTTTACTTCTTCCAGACCTTCGCCCCGACCCCGAAGATCACTAATCTTCGGGTTTTACTGCTCGTAGCAGCACAGCGAGACTACAAGCTGCACTCCCTTGACTTCTCTACTGCATTTCTCCAGGGTCGTCTACACGAGGAGATCTAGCTGCGCCGTCCTCATGGCTTCACTGGCACCTTCCCACCTGGGACCCAGTGGAGCCTGAGGCGGCCAGTCTACGGTCTCCGCTAGTCGCCCTGTGAGTGGCACGACAATTTTCGCTTCACGCTTCGTAACCTTGGGTTTCGTCCTTCCTCTGCCAACCTGTCGCTGTTTGTTCGCACTGTTTCCACTCATTTCTTTATACTAATGTAATTCGACGACTTGGTCTTTGCTACAGCAGACAGGGCAGCTCTTGCGGAGGTGGAGTCCGAATTGCAGAAGAGACACAAGTGCACTGACCTCGGTGAACTGCAGCACTACCTTGGCCTGCAGATCACCAAGGACAGAGCCGCTCGCACCATCACACTGACTCAGTCACACATGGTGCAGCAGGTCCTTCGGCGGTTCGGGTTTCAGTTCTTCACCACTCAGCCCACTCCTCTTGCCGTTGACCACCGACTCATTGGCCCTTTTCCCGACGAGCCCTTTGAGTCTACTGGCCCCCACGCAGAGCTTATGGGCTGCCTCATGTACACGATGACTTGTACTCGGCCGGACCTCGCCTTTCCCCTCAGCGTCCTCTCTCACTTTGTTGCGATTGGGAGACACCGTTCTCTTCACTGGACAGCTGCTGTGAGGGTGGCGAAGTACCTGACGACTACATCAGGGATGAGGCTTGTGCTTGAGGGACTCAGCTAGTTGTGTTGACCGGTCACTACGACTCTCCCTACGCTGACTATTTGGAGACCCAGCGTTCGACTCGGGGTTACTATTTCAGTCTGGGTGCTCGGAATTTGTGTGGTGTCCTTGAGATCCACCCTGAGCTTGCTTTGCTTCTAGTTTTGACTAGTATTGTGACCGTCTGTTCACCCTGCTTGCTTTGATGCCCCTCACTTAGCTTATGGGGGTGTGTCAAATGTTGAACATTGTTATGATAGGCTGTAGTGAGTAGCACTGTAGAGAGTATAACACTTTCTAGGCTTGCTATTTGTATCACTCACTTTCCTAGTTCATGCATTTCCGTTCATTCTATTTCTGAGAGGTCGGAAAAAATTTATGGTTCCAACATGATACGTAATTGGCTTCACTTTTAGGATATCTCATTTACGAGTGAATTTTGTTTTTTTTTTTTTTTTTTTCACTACTTGAGGCACGGTGCCACGAAAGCTGTCAAGAGGGTGCTCCAAAGAGTGCATAAATAAACACTCTTGAAATGAATTTTCAAAAACAGAAGCTTTTTATAGGTTTACTACGTAACCCCAAAACTGCCATTCATTTAAACGGGACCCGCCCTAACTGGGACCAGCAAGGACACACGCCGTTAGTGAGTCTATTTTTGACTTACAACGTAAGGCGATAAGGCACATCACGCCACATCACTCGCCTGCCCAGGAAGCCATGACTTCCGCTCTCCGCTCATCCGCGCGTCACCTGAGCTCCGCCCTCACCACCACCGCCTCCGCATTCGCCGCCGGCCCCGCAATCCCCCGCGCGCCGTGCATCGCCGCTCTCTCGAGTCTGCCGCGTCGCTGCCGCGCGTCCCCCAAACCCCGCACGGTCCTTCTCCCTTGCGCCCCCTTCTCACGCGTCGCCGCCTCTGCCAGCATCGCCAGCAGCATCAGACCTCCTCGCTCGCTTTCAACTCGTGTCATGCGCGCCGCGCTTTTCGATATCGGCGCAAGGCGCGCCGACCGTTGATCGGATCGCAGGCGCAAGCAGATCAGCTCCGCAGGTCTCCCAGCCGTCGATCTCCCGATCACCCCTGCCACGAAGCTTCGGCACGTTTTCGGCCCAGAGGCAGCGACTCAGCACCCTCGCCGCGTTCCCGCGTGCGCTTGCCGCCGGTCCCGTACCCTCCCCCGCCTCCGCTGCGCCGTCGCTGCGCGTGCACGATGCAGTGGTTGCGGCGCGGGCGGCGGGCGCGGGGCAGGCGAGGGGTGTGTTCGTTGAGGTGAAGAAGGGCGACGTGGATCGCGCAATCAAGAAGTGAGTGGCGGGGGGAGGAGGGACGGGCAAGGGTGGGCATGAAGAAGCGAGTTAGTGAGGCATGGAGAAGTGAGAGGTGCATTCAGAAGTGAGAGAGGCGTTTAAAAGCGAGACAGGCATTAAGGAGTGAGTGACTCAGCAAGATGAGTGAGTGAGCAAGAACTGAGTGGTGGGATGGGGGAAGGGGGAGAGCGTGGCCATGAGGAAGTGAGCCATAGGGGAGCGGGGAGAGGGAAAGGGGGGGTGGGGGAAGTCACACATTGGCTTCCGTCCATGCTCTCACCTCACCATGCTTTAACCCACCCATGCTCTCATGCACGCTTGGGAACAGCCTTGGGGAACGGTCTTTTCATTCAAACACGGCACTGCAGCCTAGAAAGGCCTTTGGGAAGAGCACCAGCGAGCAGGTGAGGGAACATCTCATGTGTGAGCAGGTGTTAAAGTCGTGGAGCTCTCTCCGCCGCGCTAGACCACACCCAACCGCACTCGACCTCACCCTACTGCGCTAGACCGCACCCACCCTTCACCCGTGCCTGCGGTCGCTCACAGCCTCCTGCCATAGGCGTTCGTCGCAGCGGCTGGCAGCCGCAGTTGCCTCTCCTTGCCGACCACAACACAACCTAGGTTTCACCTCGAGTTGTTCCCACCTAGTGCCCCTGGGCTACTCCTTCTGGCCCGTTCGTTACCCGCTTCACCGGTTTCTAGCTTGCTGGTTCAAGGTTGTGGTGACGGCGGACAGTGCCATACGTGTGGTGTGGCAAGGAATGACTACACTCTCATCTCATTCCCTTGTCGCCCTCCCCGTTTTTCCTCCCCTTCCCTCTCTGCCCGTTTTCTCAACCCCTCCCCTTGGCAGGTTCAAGATAAAGCTGAGGGAATGGGCAAACCTTTTTCCCCTTGTTCTTTCCCCCTCCTCTCCCCTTGTTTATGGATTCAAGATCAAGCTCAGGAGGGCCGGAGCTGAAGCGCCTGCCCGCCCGCCAAGGAGGCGGAAATTACTCTCCTTTTCTGCTCGCTCCTCTCCCCTCTTCCCTTTTTACAGGTTCAAGATCACGCTCAGGACGGACGGTGCGATAAGGGTGGCTCGGGCGAGGTCGCATTTCTGGAAGGGCGCAGAGCTGAAGCGCCTGCGCTCCCCCTCTCCCCCGCCGCGGCCACCCCCTCTTTGCAGGTTCAAGATAAAGTTACGAACGAAGACAATGCTATTCGGGTGGCTCGTGCGCGATCGCACCACTGGAAGGGCGCGGAGCTGAAGCGGCTGCGCGGCAAGGAGGCGGAGATTAGGCGGCAGCAGCAAGACTTCCGGCAGAAGCTCGCCTGGATCATGGCCAAACGCGCCAGGTGCGTGGGATGAGGATGGGTAGGGACCATACCATGGCTTGAGGTGGGGCAGGCAGGGTCCTGGGGATGGTGAGGCGGCAGCAGCAAGACTTCCGCCAGAGGCTCGCCTGGATCATGGCCAAACGCGCCAGGTGCGTGGGATGTGATGCTAGGTGGGTGGCATGTGATGCTAGGTGCGTCGCATGTGATGCTAGGTGGGTGGCATGTTATGCTAGTCGGGTGGCGTGTGCTGCCAGCTGCGTGGGATGTGATGCTAGGTGGGTGGCATGTGATGCTAGGGTGGGTGGGGATGTGATGCTAGGTGGGTGGCATGTGATGCTAGGTGGGTTGGGATGTGATGCTAGGTGGGTGGATGTGATGCTAGGTGGGTGGCATGTTATGCTAGGTGGGTGGGATGTGATGCTAGGGTGGGTGGCATGTGATGCTAGGTGGGTGGGATGTGATGCTAGGTGGGTGGCATGTGATTCTAGGGTGGTGGGATGTGATGCTAGGTGGGGTGGCATGTGATGCTAGGTGGGTGGGATGTGATGCTAGGTGGTGGGATGTGATGCTAGGTGGGTGGGGATGTGATGCTAGGTGGGTGGGATGTGATGCTAGGTGGGTGGGATGTGATGCTAGGGTGGGTGGATGTGATGCTGGGTGGTGGCATGGTGATGCTAGGTGGGTGGGATTTGATGCTAGGTGGGTGCATGTTATGCTAGGTGGGTGGGATGTGATGCCTAGGTGGGTGGCATGTGATGCTAGGTGGGTGGGATGTGATGCTAGGTGGGTGGGATGTGATGCTAGGTGGGTGGGATGTGATGCTAGGTGGGGTGGGATGTGATGCTAGGTGGGTGGGATGTGATGCTAGGTGGGTGGGCATGTGATTCTAGGTGGGTGGGATGTGATGCTAGGTGCGTCGCATGTGATGCTATGTGGGTGGCATGTTATGCTAGGTGGGTGGGATGTGATGCTAGGTGGGTGGGGATGTGATGCTAGGTGGGTGGGATGTGATTGCTAGGTGGGTGGCATGTGATTCTAGGTGGTGGTATGTGATTGCTAGGTGGTGCGTCGCATGTGATGCTAGGTGGGTGGCATGTATGCTAGGTGGGTGGGATTGATTCTAGGTGGGTGGGATGTGATGCTAGGTGGGTGGGATGTGAATGCTAGGTGGGTGGCGATGTTATGCTAGGTGGGTGGGATGTGATGCTAGGTGGGTGGGATGGTGATGCTAGGTGGTGGCATGTGATGCTAGGTGGGTGGGATGTGATGCTAGGTGGGTGGCATGTGATGCTAGGTGGGTGGGATGTGATGCTAGGTGGTGGCATGTGATGCTAGGTGGGTGGGATGTGATGCTAGGGTGGGGTGGCATGTGATTGCTAGGTGGGTGGGATGTGATGCTAGGTGGGGTGGGATGTGATGCTAGGTGGGTGGCATGTTATGCTAGGTGGGTGGGATGTGATGCTAGGTGGGTGGCATGTGATGCTAGGTGGGTGGGATGTGATGCTAGGTGGGTGGGATGTGATGCTAGGTGGGTGGGATCTTGGCCAGGGCGTTCAAGGTACGGTGGGATGAGGAGGGATGTGGGCAAGCTTCCAGGTGGGGTAGTGTGCTGGGGAGAGAGTGCAGCAGTGAGCATGGATGCATGGGGAAGGAGGGTCATGGCTCTTTGCGGGTGGGATCATGGGCTCATGCTTGGAGTGGTATGGGCTGTCCCTCCAGGCTGGGCAGTCCCTCCAGGTATGGGCAGTCCCTCCAGGTATGGGCAATCTCTGCAGGTATGGGCAATCCCTGCAAGTATGGGCAATTTCTGCAGGTATGGGGCAATCATTGCAGGCATGGGCAAACGAGTGGGATGATGGGATGTGGGGTGATGCATGGGATGGGTGAGCTGTGCACGTGGGATGTGGGGCGATGGGGAGGTAATTGTACCTCTGACGTCATACAAAGAAGAACGCTTGTTGCCATCTGAATGAGTGTTTTCTATCAGGAATATCGTGCCTTTTACTGAAGCACACAACTTTTTCGCATCATCTTGTTCTGTGTATGCTTTTGTTTGGTCTCACTTAACCTCCATATGACTCATCCTTCGTTCTGTGTATACCCAACAGTTGCCTTTACGAAATCTCTTTCCATGCTTTCATCGCGACTGGAACCAGTACTGATTCATACAGTACCCAATTTGCCTTGCATTCCCAAACCTTTTCTATGTTCTGCTCTGAACCTTCTTTTGACGCTGTGCAGGGGATTCTGATGCAAAGGTCACAAAATGTTTCGCACTGCCCTTACCTTCTGGCCACGGTATCTGTCCAAAGGCACAAAAAGTCTAGGATTATCAAAATTCGTACCCAAGTGGTCAACGATACTTCTCCCGTCCATGTGAGGAGGTCTCGAAGATCACATTCACATGGCAACCCACACTAGACTCTCAAATTGGTTTTGGTTTTGGGCCAGGGCTCTAAGAGATCTACTTAGCGACACAGAGGTGTGCCATTCTCGAGAATGAGTGAACTAGGCAAGAGGTGAGTACAAGTACCGTATGGCCCCAGATAGTAGCGCATATGCGCTTATAAAAAAAATCATTTTTTTTTTAGGGGGGGCGCTTGTAATTGAGTAACGGCCATAAGCGCCGGCGCTTATATAATGAAAGATAAGAAATTATATATTTAGAGCACCAAATTGTTCATTTTCTTCTTGCCATTTCAAGTTTCAACCGAGTCGAAATGTTATAGCATCGCAAAGCAGAATCTCGCGCAAGCGATATTCTGGGTTCACACAAAGGCGAAGACACGTCATGCCAGCACATCCTGACTGGACGCGAAGCCAGTCAGGTCTTCGCGGGTCAAACGAGGCGAAATTGAAATCTGACTCGCTGCAAAAATGTATTTCGTTACCGTTTTAAGTAAGAAATTAGATTAAAATTACACATGCGCTTATAATATGTTAAGGTTTTCTAGGGGGGGGGGGGGCTTATAATCGAGGAACGGCCATAAGCGCCATGCTCCAGATAGAGGCGCCGACGCCTTTAATCGGACGGCGCCTACATCCGGGGCCATACGGTAGGAGAAACCTAACCCTAAAGTGTTGTACTCACTAAGGAGTGACCTTACTGTAGCCTAGAGATACAATTGTAATTTGACGCACCTCCATAGGCAAAGTAGGGGACAGCAAACACAACAAGTGGTCACAAGACCAGTCTGCAGAAGAGAACACAGCTCAGGGTGGATCACAAAGTCACCACGCTTTCTGAGCACAAGCAAGTGGCCACAAGGCCAGTTCACATGCAGAGATATATAATAGCAAGGCAGTACACGGATCACAACCTAGCAAGAGAAAACATGCAGGTATGAGAAATATAGCAATGTATAACAAGAGCAGTCAAGCAAACAACAGGTGAGGCAGAGTGGGCACAAGCCCAAGAGCAGTGTAGAAACGGTGATGATCACCAGACCCAAGGGCCTTGGTGAAGACATCAGCAGTGTTGGCCCGAGAGGCCACGAAAGCAAGGCGCAGCTGACCACGCTGCTGCAGCTCACGTGCAAGAAAAGTAGTGAAGAGCAATGTGCTTCGTTCGGTGCTCCAGTCTCTGCTCGCGACACAAGGCAAGCATTGCCTGTTGTCGACGTACAGAACTGGAGGTGAACGAGGCCGCACCCCCAAGCCGGTCAGCAAGTAGGTCAGCTAGCGTAGCTCCTGTGTAGCCATGGCCTCAGCATAGATCTCGGCCTCACAGCTGGAACCAAGCACAGAAGAAGAACGAGTGGACCTCCACGAGACAGAACCAGAGCGAAGACTGAAGGTGTAACCATGTGACAAACACTGAGTCGTCCGGTCGTCGGCCCAAGAAGCGTCAGAGTGTCCTGTGAGGACCACCGAACCCCGTCCTCCAAGCACGAGCCCCATGCCTGATGTGCTGCACAAGTAACGCAGTACCCTCTTCGCAGCATCAAAGTGCACCTTTCGATGTCTACCGGGTGCCACGTAGCGAGCTTGGAGGCTGAGAGGGTACTCGAGGTCAGGTCGTCTGCATGTCATCAGGTACATGAGGCAACCCACAAGGTCTGGGTACAGACCACTCGGCTCTACGGACTCGTTCGAAGGTGGAGCTCAGAGCGAGTGGCCGGTAGACAGAGGAGTGGGCTGTGGCGAGCACCACGTGAAACGGAAGCGCTGAAGGACCTGCTGCACCATGTGTGACTGAGTCAGGGTGATGGTGCGCCGTGCTTTGTCCCGGGTGATCTTCAAGCCAAGATAGCTCTGCAGCTCACCTAGGTCAGTGTAGGTGTGTCTCTCCTGCAGCTTCGCCTTCACTAGGGTCAGTGCCTCAGTGTCACTAGTAGCAAAAAACCAAGTCGTCCACGTACACGAGGATGTAGAACGGCGGCAGAGTAGTGTCGGTGCATCGAAACAGCGACGGGTCAGCAGAGGAAGGAGCAAACCCAAGAGCCGCAAGTGTCGCCCTCAGTGTGTCGTGCCACTCATAGGGCGCCTGACGCAGGCCGTACACTGGTCACCGTAGGCTCCACTGGGTACCCTCAGGAAACGACCCAGTGAAGCCCTGTGGACGGCACAACCAGATGGCCTCGTGAAGGCTACCCTGCAAGAAAGCTGTCGAGAAGTCGAGGGAGTGCACCTCGTAGTCACGCTGAGCTGCAACGTGTAGCAACACCCGAAGAGTGGTCATCTTCGGGGTGGGAGAGAAGGTCTGAAAGAAGTCGACCCCCTCACGCTGACTGAAGCCTCGAGCAACGTAACGTGCCTTGAAGGCAGGCGGAGAACCCAGCATTCGCTACACCCTGAAAATCCACGTGCCACTGACGATGTTCGCCCCAAGTGGGGGAACCTCGTCGACGTAGGTGCCTGTGGACTTCCAGGGAGCCATCTCTGCATCCATGGGTGTCTGCCACGAAGAGGAGTACTCACCCGAAATCGCCTTCCTGTAGGAGCGCGGGTGGGGATGTCAAATGCATCCGGGTCTCCCTCAGGGGCAAGCAGCATGGTCGCGTGATGGGGTGAAGCGGCAGCAAATCACTCCAGCTCCTCCTGTCTATCCTCAAGAACGTCACACCCAAGGGCAGTACAGGCAAGAGCAGTCTCATCCCCGACGGACGGAGGACAGGCAGGGACAGGGTTAGAGACAAGACTCGCAAGGTAGTCTAGGCAGTACACAGCAGCAAAGTCAACGAGCTCAGCTATGAGGGCGGACGCAGCAGGACACGAGAATGTAGGGTCCGTCACAACCGTAGCAAGAAGACGAGTAATAGTCGGACTGGACGCACGAGCAAGGTCAGGCGGAGGGTCAGCAACGTTAGGCAGAGAGGACGCAAGAGGTAACGGTAGGACGACACGCTGAGGAACAGAGGAAGGGAGTGTCATATCATGAGTGCCGGGGACAGCCGGAGCACGCGGGTGACGAACACGAGGAACACGAGCACGGACAGCAGCTCTAGGCTCAGGCTCAAGGTCAAAGCTAGACTCAAGCTTTCGACGCTCAGGGGTGGACGCACGAGTCTCAGGCTCTCGACGCTCAGCCAGGGACTGTGTCACCGCAGTGTAAGGAGCAGGAGCAGGCAGTGGGGAGTGCGGTAGCAGTGGCGACTGTGACTGGTCCGCCGGTGGAAACAGTAACTGAGGAGTAGTACCTGCCATAGGGAAGTCAGTAGCACCTGGCGGAAGACTGAGAAGGTGGCGAAGAGCACCAGCAGCTCCTCCAGTACCCCCAGCAACACCTCCAACACTAGTAGCACCAGCGCCTCCAGCACCAGCAGCTCTAGTACCTCCTGCACCATCAGCACCTCTAGTACCTCCAGTAGTACCTCCAGCACCTCCAGCACCAGCACCACCTCCTGGACTAGTAGCTCCAGCACCAGCAGGACCGTACCCTCCACCACCAGGACTGCCTCGCAGAACGACCCACGCACGAATCGCTTGCTGCGAGAGCGTCTGGAGTAGAGCAGGCTGCGGTGGCTGTCCAGCTCCAGTACCTCCAGTAGTGGTAGCTCTAGCACCTCCAGCCCCAGAAGCACCTCTAGTACCTCCAGCTCCAGCACCTCCAGCACCAGCAGCAGCTCCAGTACCTCCAGCACCAGTAGTACCTCTGGTACCTCCAGTAGGACCTCCAGGCCTAGTAGCTCTAGTACCTCCAGCTCCAAGACCTCCAGAAGGACTCGTAGCACCCCCGGAGTCAGCACACGAAGTCTCAGCACCCCCAGAGTAAGCACCCTCAGGCTCAGCACCCTTAGTCTCAGCACCCTCAGTCTCAGCACCCTCAATCTCAGCACCCTCAGTCCCAGCACCCTCAGGCTCAGTACCCTCACTCTCTGCTCCAGTGTCCACAGCAGTAGGCTGCAAAGGCGGCGAAGACGGCAGAGGTGGGAACCCCGGGGGGGGGGGGGTAGCCAGACGAGGAGAGCAGTCACCACCACCCCCAGTCCCAGCTCCAGTAGTCTCAGCTCCAGAGTCCACAACAGCAGGCTGCGGAGGCGGCGAAGACGGCCGTGGCGAGAAACCCGGGGGGGTCGCCAAGCGAGGAGTGCGGCGAGTGGTCGCCGTGTCGTCGGCTACGGTGTCACCCCCCTCAGGTGAGTCAGAGGAGTTAGAGGAGATCTCAACTGGCTCATCCAAGAAGGTTGGGTCTACCTGGGACACACCTGAGGGAGCAGGACCCTGTGGGGGGAGGGGGTCTACCGAGGGAGGGACTGGTACTAAGAAGAGGGGTGCAAGGGGGACCGGGTGGGACGCGTGCGGGTGAAGTCGGTAGTAACAGACCGACTCGTCAAAGGTGACATCCTGAGAGGACAGAACACGACGCGAGGTAGGGTGGTAGAACTACCAGGGTGGAGTCTCGGTGGGGAAGCCCAGAAAGACACAGAGGAGAGTGCGAGGAGAGAGCTTGCTCGCTTTGGTATCGCGAACAAAGGAGAGCGCGCCCCAGACCCGAAACGACAACGCATCACCAGGCTGTCCCGTCCAACGGAGTTTGGGCGAGGTCTCTGGAGCAAAGACACGGGGCCAGAAGTTGGGCTGATGTGCAGCGTAGGAAACGGCCACATGAAATGGGGAGCAGCCGTATGGATCATGGAGGTACGAGCAAACTCCATGATATGTGACAGTACAAGCAAGGTCAAGAAGAGAGCAAGTGAGGCAAAACAGGCACAAGACCCAGCTGAGTGCAGAAGCGCTGATGATCACAAGGCGCAAGTGCCTTGGTGAACACATCAGCAGTGTTGGCCTCAGAGGCCACGTACGCAAGCCGCAACTGTCCACGCTGCTGTAGCTCACGAGCAAGAAAGTAGCAGAGAGCAATGTGCTTTGTCTTGTGCTCCAGTCGCTGCTCTTGACACAAGGCCAGCATGGCCTTGTTGTCTACGTACAGGACTGGAGGAGAACAAGGCGGCTCTCCAAGGTCGGTCAGCAGGTAGGTGAGCCAGCGAAGCTCCTGGGCCGCCATAGCCCCGGCGTAGATGTCAGCCTCACAACTGGAGCCGAGAACAGAAGACGAGTGGGTAGCCCGCCACGAAACAGAGCCGGAACCAAGGCTGAAGGTGTAACCCTGTGACGACCGCTGCGTAGCCTGGTCGTCAGCCCAAGAAGCGTCCGCGTGCCCAGTGAGGACCACTAGACTGCGCCCTCCAAGCACTAGCCCCATGACCGACGTACTGCACAAGTAGCGCAACACCCTCTTCACTGCAGCCATGTGCTCTGGTCGGTGTCTCCCAGGAGCAACATAGCGTGCGAGAATGCTGAGAGGGTATGCAAGGTCAGGTCGAGTGCAGGTCATCAGGTACATGAGGCAGCCAACAAGCTCTGGATACGGGCCACTCGACTCTACGGACTCATCCGAAGGCAGAGCTGAGAGAGAGTGGCGAGTAGGCAAAGGAGTGGCCTGAGGCGAGGAGTACATGAAGCCGAAGCGCTGAAGGACCTGCTGCACCATGTGTGACTCAGTCAGGGTAATGGTGCGGCGTGCTCTGTCCCGGGTGATCTGCAAGCCAAGGTAGCTGCGCAGTTCACCCAGGTCAGTGCACGTGTGTCTCTTCTGCAGCTCGGACTTCACGTAGGCGAGTCCAGCAGTGTCAGCAGTGGCAAAGACCAAGTCGTCGACATACACGAGGATGTAGAACGGCGGCAGAGAGGTGTCGGTGCGCAGAAACAGCGACGGGTCGGCAGTAGAAGGAGCAAACCCAAGTGCCGCCAGCGTAGTCCTCAGTGTGTCGTGCCACTCACGTGGTGCCTGGCAGAGACTGTAGACTGGACGCCGGAGACTCCACTGGGTACCAGGAGGGAAAGACCCAGTGAAGCCAGGTGGGCGGCGCAGCAAGATCTCCTCGTGCAGGCTGCCCTGCAAGAAAGCGGTGCTGAAGTCGAGAGAGTGCAGCTCGTAGTCACGGTGAGCAGCAACGTGCAGCAGTACCCGAAGAGTGGTCATCTTCGCGGTGGGGGAGAAGGTCTGAAAGTAGTCGACTCCCTGCCACTGACTGAAGCCACGAGCCACGTAACGCGCCTTGAAGACAGGCGGAGAACCCGGCGGCCGCTTCACCCCGAAGATCCACATGCCACTGACGATGTTCGCCCCAGGAGGGGGGACAGCATCAACGTAGGTGCCTGTGGACTTCCAGGAAGCCATCTCTGCATCCATAGCTGCCTGCCACTGAGAGGATTAGGGACCCTCTATCGCCTCCGTGTAAGAGCGCGGAGTCGGGATATCAAGTGCATCCGGGTCTCCCTCAGGGGTAAGCAGTACGGACAAGAGATGTGGTGAAGCGGCTGCCAGGCACTGGAACTCCTCCTGCCTATCCTCGAGGACGTCCGTGCCATGGGCACACTCACCCCGGACGGACGGAGGACAGACAGACTCAGACTCAGCGACAAGACTAGCAGCGTAGTCTAGGCGACAGCGAGCAGCAAAGTCGACGAGCTCAATAACGAGGGCAGACGCAGCAGAAGACTCGAAAGAAGGGTCAGTGACGACAGTAGCAAGGAAACGCGTGACAGTAGGACTGGCAGCACGAAGAGAGTCCGACTCCGGGTCGGCAAGAGCAGGAAGAGAGGACTAAGGAGGAGAAGGCAAAAGGGCACGTAGAGGAGCAGTAGACGGACGCAGTGACATCCGGTGCGTGCCAGGGACAGGAGGAGGGCGTTGACGCGAACTGCGACCACTAGCGCGTGCAGTACGAACAGGCGACGCAGGACGAGACGCAGGCTCACGACGCTCAGTAAGACCTCCAGTAGGACCAGCGTAGGGAGAAGGAGCAGGTAAGGGGGAGGCAGGCTGTAGCTGTGACTGTGACGGGACAGGCTGTGGACCCTCTAAGGGAGGAGGAGGACCAGTAGAAGGTGGAAGACCAAGAACCTGCTGCAGGAGTGGAACGAAGTACGGTCGAGGCCGCGCGGCGACGCCAGACACAGCAGGGACAGCACGAGTACCCCCAGCATGAGTACCCGCTCCAGCAGCACCTCCAGCAGCTCCAGAACCTCCAGTAGCACCAGGAGCACCCCCAGCAGGACCGCCAGTGGTAGTCTCAGCGCCAACACCCTCAGCAGCACCAGCTCCAGTCAAACCCGCAGGCCTAGCAGCTCCAGTACTCCCAGTACGAGATCCTCCAGTACCAGCAGCACGCCTCCAGCGCCGGGCAAACCACTCACGCAGCTCCTGTGGGGAGAGTGGCTCTCGGCGAGACGAAGCACCCAGAGAACCTCAAGGCGAAGAACCTCCAGGCTCGGCACCCCCAGGCAAAGCACCTCCAGGCGTAGCACCTCCAGTCTCAGCACCCCCCAGGCTCAGCACCCCCAGACTCAGCACCCCCAGGCTCAGCACCCCCAGGATCCGCACCCCCAGGCTCAACACCCCAAGGCTCCGCACCCCCAAGCTCAGCACCCCCAGGCTCAGCACCCCCAGTGTCAGCACCCCTAGGCTCAGCACCCGCAGCAGCACCAGAGTCACCATTGACCTCGACAGGCTCTACCGCGTCTACCTGGGACACACCTGAGGGGGCAGGACCCTGAGGGGGAAGGGGGTCTACCGGGGGGGGACTTGGTACCAAGAAGAGCGGGGGTGGGGGGAGGGACGGAGTGCGGTAGGGGAAGAGGCGGTAGTAGGGTACCGACTCGTCAAACGTGACGTCCTAGGAGGACAAAACACGGCGAGAGGTGGGATGGTAGAACTGCCACCCAGGGGCTTCGGGCGGGAACCCCAGGAAGACGCAAGGAGCAGCACGAGGGGACAGCTTGTCCGCAGACAAGTCGCGGACAAACGCCCGAGATCCCCAGACCCGGAACGCCGACGCATCGCCAACCTTCCCCGTCCACAGCAGGGCTGGGGAGGTCTCCGGCCTGGAGACCCTGGGGTGAAGGTTGATCTGATGCGCCGCGTACCTGACCGCAAACAGCCACAGAAAATGGGGGGCAGCGGCATGCATCATAGACGTACGAGCGACGTCCATGACCATGCCAATGCGGCGCTCTGCAATCCCATTTTGCTGCGGTGAGTTCGGAAGCGTGAAGGTCTGACAGATGCCTCGTGCACGACAGTAGGCACGCAGAAGGCCAGAGGAGAACTCTCCGCCTCTGTCCGAGTGCAGACGCATCACAGGAAAGTCCGAGCTAAAGCTCTGCCTGAGCTGGAGACGAGCTGCGCGGATCCAGTCGATCAGCACCTCAGTGACATCACCCTTGCTGCGCAAGGGGAAGACTGTGGTGTAACGCGAGTAGTCGTCAACCACCAACAGGAAGTAGCGCTCGTGACCGAGTCCACGGACGCGGGCAGGGCCCCACACGTCCATGTGAAGCGTCTGCAACGGGGCCTCTGTCGGAGGAAACTGGGAGGAGTGAGGGGCAGCACGCTGGCGCCCCTCGACACAGGGGACACAGGCAGGGCCAGGGCCGTGAGGAAGGGGAGGGAGGGACCGGGGGAGACCAGACACAAGAAGACGAGAGACCATGCCTTTGAGCCGAAGCAGAGAGGGGTGACCAAGGCGGTGGTGCCAGAGGAGAGTCTCGTGAGACAGGCGACGACACGAACAGGGGGCAGACTCAGGACCAGACCTGGACGCTGCCGTAAACACCTGACCAGACTCAGTAACTGGAGGAGAAACAATGGTCAGTGTGTACAGGCTCGACCCTGGCTGACGTGTAAACGTAGCCAGGTGGCGACCTGAGCTAGCCCCCGTGCAGTGCGTCACCCGCAGACGAGCAGGAGTGAACTGGTGGACACACGCATCCTGTAGGTTTGCACCACTCACCAGGTTCGTAGAGAACGAGGGGAGGTAGACACCAGACAGGGTTCCAGAGGGAGCCGCCGGACACGGGAGGACTGTGGAGAAGCGAGACAGGACAGGACCCCCAGAGGGGTCAGCCAGGGACACCGCAACTGGCCGACTAAGCGGCGTGAGTGTGGTGCGGTCCCGAAAGAAGGAGCGAGACGCCCCAGAGTCAAGGGTGAAGGTGTGGGAGGCCGAAGCCGACGTAGTACCTGAGAGCGCAGACTCACCAGTACCTGATGACGCAGACACACTAGCACCTAGAGCAGCAGCGTCGCAAGCACCTAGGGCAGCAGCCGCACGAGTACCTAGAGCAGCAGACTCAATGCCCGGATCGGGTGGGAAACACCGGTAACAGTCACCCTCATCACTAATAGACACAGCATACATGGCAGAGAGAATAGCATCAAAGTCAAGATCAAAGATGGCAACACCCGCCCTAGACAACTCGCCCCAGCGAGGCATCTCTGAGGCCTTCGGGAACTAGTGACGCCACGCGTCCGTCAGGCGGCCAAAGCAGCGCTGGGTGGGGTGCGCACCCCCACCCCGCTGGCGTGCAGTGTACCACTCACGGAGGTGCTGAGGGGACAGGGTCTCACGACCGCGCTGGTGCTGCTGGCGCGAGCCACCACCAGAGCCACTCCTCTGCGAAGACCCGCGACCAGCTCCACCGCCACCCCAACCGCCTCCGCCGCCTCCGCCGCCTCCGCTACTGCCGCCGCCTTGGTCGCCGCCTCCACCGCCGCCTCCTCGGCCACCTCCACTCCCACCGCCACCGCCGCCGCCGTCTCCGCCTCCACTGCCGCCACCGACCCCCCCACCCCCACCTCCACTCCCACTGCCACCCCCACTCCCCCCACCGCCTCCACCTCCACCTCCACCGCCCGCTCCTCCAGCTCCCTTGCCCCCCTTGCCCTTGCCAGGGCGGCGTCTCCCGCTAGGAGCAGACGCCGCACCGACCAACTCAAGACCAAGGAGGTCGGCCGTAGCAGCAGAGGCAACAGAGGGCAGCAGGGGGGAGGGGGAACACCCCTCAAAGATGGGGGTGCGCCGGTCACCTCGAGAGGCTCCTACAGCGACTATACTCTCCTCCGCTGCTAAGAGGGCCTTCTCGAGGAGGTCGACAGTGAGTGTGGTGGGACAGACTGAGAGGAAGTGGTCCCTGACTACGCGAAGGGAGTCAGGGAGGCGAGTGACTATGTAGTAGAGAGTGATGTACATGGGGGGGGGGGGGTTCTTGGCGCAGAAGTCAGCAGGGAGTGCAGCGCGGTAGCGAGTGTCACTAGTGCGGAGGTGCGTAATGAGGTCAGCCACGGTGGGAAAGGCAGCAAGGTCAGGGAAGAGGTACGGTAGCATGAGACGGCTCAGTGTAGCAGTGGCAGGGGAGGAGTAGCGCGCGACTACAGCGTCGTACAAGGTCTGAGCACTCTTGTACTGACTAAAGTGCGCACGCTCGGAGGTAGGGAGGTGGTGACGCACAGCAAGACGTGCAGCAGCGTGGCGCGTGGCCCAATGGGAGCGAAGAGTGGCGTCAGCATCAGCAGCAGGGGCAGGGGAAGCGCCAGAGGTTAGGTCAAAGAGAGAGAGGCCGTCTGCCCTATCGCACTGTAAGAACAGCTGCAGGTCGTCTACCCATACCTCAAAGTCAATGACCCTACCCTCAGCGTCAAAAGTGAGGACACTGGGGGTAGCCATGACGACAGACGCCTAGCAGTGCAAACAGTAGGGTGAGGGCACGCAGTGACAGAGGGGCTGTGCTCACCGGACAAGGCTGCTCGGGCGGCTCGGCTCCAGGGCGGCTCGGCGGCTCGGCTGCTCTGCGGCTCGGCTGTAGGGCGGCTCGGCTGCTCTGTGGCTCGGCTCCTAGGGCGGCTCGGCGGCTCGGCGGCTCGGCTGCTGTGCGACTCGGCAGCAAGGCGGCTCGGCTCCTCTGCTGCTGGGCGGCTCGGTAGTGGCGCTGTAGGGCGGCGCGGCAGGAGCAGGAGGCGGGCGGCGGGGCCGCGACGTAGGGCGGCGAGGCCGCAGGAGTAGGGCGGCGGGGCCGCGACGTCGGGCGGCGGGGCCACTGAGGAGGGCGGCGGGGCCGCGACGTAGGGCGGCGGGGCCGCAGGGGTAGGGCGGCGGGGCCGTCGGCGTAGGGCGGCGGGGCCGCGACGTAGGGCGGCGAGGCCGCAGGAGTAGGGCGGCGGGGCCGCATGAGTAGGGCGGCGGGACCGCGAGAGTAGGGCGGCGGGGCCGCGTGAGTAGGGCGGCGAGGCCGCGCGATGGGGCGGCGGGGCCGCGAGGTAGGGCGGCGCGACAGGCCGCTGCAAGGGCGGCGCGCCACTGCCGCTAAGGCGGCTCGACGCGACCGTAAGGGTGGCGCGACGGGCCGCTAGGGGCGACACGACGGGCCGCTTAAAAAAAAGGGAGAGCGCGACTCGAGGCGCGCTTCGGTGGGCCCTAGGAACAGTCCCTAGGAGGGGACCTGCTCTGATACCATGTGAAAATGAGAACGAGAATGAATGAACTATGAATGAAGTGAGTACAAATATGAAACCCTAATTGGGTTGTACCCCCTATGGGATACCCCACTATAGCCTACACAATAGCATAAGCTATAATGTTCTGACAGAAGTGGCCATGATAGACAGTGACGATGAGGAGTAGGTCCAGCACCTCAAGCTCCTACAGCGCCAGCAGCACCTCCTGCACTCCCAGCAGCACCTCCACCACTCCCAGTATCACGAGTAGCAACAGCAATAGTAGTAATAGCAGCAGGGCGGCGTGTAGCTAGAGCAGGGCGACACGCGGCCACAGTAGGGCAGTAGTAGGCAGTAACTCCTAGGGCAGAAACGCCTAGGGCCCTTTTTTTGTTTTTTTTTTTTAATATACAATTCAATTATATTTAGGGTATAGCAGGGCGCTGGCGCAGGGTGCAGGCGCAGGGCAGGGCGCTGGCGCAGGGCAGGGCGCGGGCGCAGGGCAAGGCGCTGGCGCAGGGCAGGGCACCAGCTCGCGCAAGGCAGGGCGCTGGCGCAGGCTGCAGTAGTGCGTGACGCAAGGGGCATCAGAGCGTGACGCGACGGGCTGCCTTAGGGCGCGACGCGTGGGCTGCAGCAGAGCGTGACGCGCGAGGCAGCAGCGCGCGACTCGTAGGCTGCGTTAGGGTGTGGGCTGCAGGGGCAGGACGCACGGGCTCCAGGGGCGGTGTGCGGGCTGCAGGGGCGCCGCGCTGGCTGCAAGGGCAGCTCGTACGTGCTGCAGGGGCCGCGCGGCTCAGCAGGTCCGCGCGCGAGCTGTAGGGGCGGCGCGAACGGGCCACAGAGGCGGCGCGCGGGCTCCAGGGGCGACGCGCGGGCTGCAGGGGCCGCGCGGACGGGCTGCAGAGGCGACGCGCGGCTCAGCAGGTCCGCGCGCGGGCTGCAGGGGCAGCGTGAACGGGCCGCAGGGGCAGCGTGAACGGGCTGCAGGGGCGACGTACGGGCTACAGGAGCGACGTACAGGCTGCAGGGGCAGCGCACGGGCCACAAGGGCAGGCGCGGCTGCAGGGGCAGCACGGAAGCAGGGGCCAGCACGGCTGCAGGGGCAGCACGGTCGTAGGGGTGAGCACGGCTGCAGGGGCAGCGTGGTCGCAGGGGCAGCGCACGGGCTGCAAGGGTCGCGACAGTGAGAGCTAGGGGCGCCATCGCGCTGGCTACTGTGTAGGGCGTGGCGCTACCACTAGGCGGAACGGTGGGCCCATGTAGGAACGGTTCCTACTCTGATAACATGTCAAGAATAGAACTAGGTATGAGTGAACTAGGCAAGAGGTGAGTACAAGTAGGAGAAGCCTAACCCTAAAGTGTTGTACTCACTAAGGAGTGACCCTACTGTAGCCTAGAGATACAATTGTAATTTGACATCACCCTGTATCAGGGTAATCAAGGTGTTTTACCCTGATATCATAGGCCCTGGTGGTGAAGATTATGGTAGCTTGCTGGTAGATATGGAGTGCGCAGCTAGATAGAGGTAATCATGCTACCGTGTGCAACATGCTGTAACTGAAAGGCTTGTTGTAAACATAGTATTATAAGCTGGAAATTTGCTTGGAGCGCAGACGGGTATCCTCAATCAGCACACGCATGAATCTCCTCCGGCGCTTCACAATCCTCACGGCATCCGTGGTGGTCGCAATCCCCATCTCGTCATTTGTGAATGCCAGCATGGGACCAAATTGGCAGTAGGCCAGGATAGCAGCTGAAAGTAATTCAAGACCAGCCCAACCCAGCACATAGGCAGGGCTGACGATTCAAAAATGGCTACCCTGATTTCAACCCCCCCCCAAAAATTTTACCCTGAAGTAATTTTCCGCAAAATGCCAAGCATGAGCCTTCTTGCGATGTTTAGGGTTCACGAAATTGTATAGTGAGTCTGGGCTGTCAGGGTTGGCGAATTGAAATCAGGGGCGAACTTTTTATTCTTTCCAGTTTGGCGAGAAAAACAGTGACGTGCTTGACGCGAGAAATCTAGCTGGATTGGGCTGGATCGACTGGTTGGCTGGAGGGAGTGCATGTGGCGTGGAAGGATCTCCTAGGGGTGCAAGGGGCGAGAGCGAGGGGTGTGTGAAGGGGGAGGGACCAAGTGAGACGGGTGAGGGCTATTTCGTGACTGCGGGTCGTCCGCACAAGACAAAGGGGAGAAGGGGGGGAGGAAATGGGGGAACGAGCTGCTCATGGGAGAGGTGTCGAGACTTGAACGGATTTTTGTCAAATTACATTTGTATATGTAGGCTGTAGTGGGGTAGCCTCTACTGAGTACAACACTTTAGGTCAAACCTAGTACTTGTACTCATCCTTGCTTGCTAGTCAATCATTCCTGCACAGATATTCTATCATGGTATTAGAGTAGGAAACCTGTTAAGTTTTTAGGGCCCATCGACCATTTTTCTAGTTCCCGCCCGAAGCGCCCTTGCGTTGTCTGGGCCTCTCGCACAGTGTCACGCTGCCCTGCACCTACTTGCACTGCCTACCCTAGCGTGCTGCCCTACTGTCACGCGTGCCCCTGCTGCCCGAGAGCAGCCCTTGCCCCGCGCTAGGCCTTTGGATAGCAGGGTGATTCACCTGTATTGAATCTTTACCTTTTTTTCCAGATATGTTTGGAGTTGAACCCTTTTTCCAAAAATCTATCCTTCAGATAGGGCTGATATATCAGAGTGGTCCTGTGTTACCGGACTGATTCGTAAGAGCAGAAACAAATTTCGGGCCCGGGGGGGGGGGGGGGGGGGTGTGTAGTAGAAATAGTACAACGCTCGCCCCAAATTTTGCCATAATCAGCGGCAACAATTCAGATTCGGCTTTGATGGCGTCGCCTTTGTTATGTGATGCTATGATTTGCATTCACATCTGTCTGCCTCCCATGATATGTTCGTGCGTTGCATGCGTGGAGTGAGCGTGTGCAAGTGTTTGGTGTGGTTTGGATTTTCTTGAGCAGATATCTGAAATGACTTCTCTGCTCAAGAGCTTTCTGACGAACCAAGAATCGCCACGATCGGAACAAGAACAAGAAATATATGATCGTTCGAAGTTTTTATAGTGATGCGGCGACTATGGGAATTTGCGGGTTGACTCAATATGGGGTACAGACTTTTGAGGGTTGGGAATTTCGTCTCTATCACTATAGTTGATGCCAAGTGGTTGGGAGAAACCAAACCAGGTTGGCAAGTGTGGCCAAGTTGGGTGTGATGGATGGCATGGGTTGGGAAAATGACAAAGGTCAAAGTTGGGGTACCCATAGGGAGGGAATCTTTGTGCTTATGGGGTTTCCTTAGTTGGGGCTTCTTGGGGACCTTCCCTCCTCTGCCCCCCTACCTGGTTAATTGCTACTCTAATACCTTGTGTGGTTAATTGCGAGAAATGTTATGTGAGTTAAGTTTCTATGGCAGCATACCCCCTAGTGCGCCGAAAATCATAACTCGAGATATACTTCAACTTTTGATACGATTCGAATTGGGATAGATAGCCACGGCCAACGGCTACAACATACTTGAGTTTGAGAGAACTTTAACGGTGTGTTTTTTGTCAACGGTGTTTCTTGTTATGACGATTTTTCTGTCCAGAATTGTAATTTTCGATTTTGAGATA